AAATACTGTATACTGTGTATATATACATACATACATACACACACATAAACATTTTCCAAATGAGGTGACATAGAATAAGAATAACAATAAGAATAATGATCAAATGCAAACAATATAAGTTTGTGACAAAAGCTGCTATCCACTGGGGCTCCCATGATGCTGGACAAGTTCACGTTTGGTGTTATATTGTTGACATGTTTCAGTGTTCTTTTATAGCATATATGGTGGGTTTTTAGGTGGTTTGAGGGGGTTACTGGAGGAACTGATTTGAAGGAGAGAATAAATGCTTAAATTACAGCTCACTCTCTACTACGAGCAGTATCGGATGGTATCTCTGTGATTTACTGTCCACCCGACACTGTTGGCAATGGTCAATCTTTTTGCGCCTCACTCCAGCTCTGTGAATAGTCAGCTACTGTTTTAGCTCTTTTGACAGCTGTTTTCCTGATTCTGTTGTAATGTGACAAACTGGCTGAAAGTGAGCTGTGAGCCTTTTTTCCATGACTTAAATAAGACCTAAAAAATTTAACATGCGTTGACTTCAGTGAGGCATATTCAATTAACTTGAGCATATTGAAGAGGGTGCAACCTTTTGAGCTTGCTAATATAAGATAATCACAGAATATACTTAATGAAATACTTAGGATATATTGTAATGAGACTGACAACAATTAAATGCATATATAAATCACAAACTGTACTCATTCATTCCTTCATTCATCCTTAGTAACTGCCTAGTCAGGGTTACAGTGGTTTAAATTAACCTACTAGTTTTAATTTTAGATAATAGAACCAACTAAATTCACTAGAGAATACTGCAGGTATGTACAAACAAAAATAATAACTTATAGTCTCTAGTTGAAAGCAATGATAAACTGGAGTGATATAGTTGAGGTTGATGAACTGTCAGAGCCAGAATTCACAGACCATGCTGACAGTGCTGGCATTTCTACTTCTGGTCTTTTACCCCTGGAATTTTCTGGTTTAGACCATGCCCACTTTAGGTTTAAGTGCAAATCCAGATACAGATAGTGACTCTGAATTGAGCTGATACTGGAAGATTGAGCTGATACTGGAAGATCATTATAAAAGGAAGAATACAGATGATAATAATTATGATGATGAGTTCAGTAGAGCATAAAGTGCTATAAATATACACTCTGGATGCAGGAGTACAGAAATAAAGTGATACTAAAACTAACACAGACAAGCTCAGGTAATTACAGGTACTGTGTGCAGCTGACACTCTTGCTCTCCCTCTGAAAATCACATGCTGATTTTATAGTAAGCCATAATTCCCAGTCACATACATTAAAACACCTACTTGACTCACATTTTACACCCACATGCCTGCAAAATTCTCTTGTTCCCCTGTATCTATCATTTGGCTTCAGTGAGTCAGACAGAAAACCCAGTGGAGAGATTTTGTGAGCAACTGAAAGCATGAATGACGTTATTCCTAACAATAACTTTATTACTGGAATAATAAGGTGAGCAGCTGCAATCAGTCAGCAGCTAGTAAAATAATTGGACTGGAAAGTATACGGGTTCAAAGTGTTTTATTTCATACAGGCTGTACAGGAAATGATGCTCATGAAGCTTAGATTGCTTTAGAGGAGCTATTATTCATAAACGTGTTAAATAAAAGAAGCAAAAGGATAAATACATAAGATTAATAAAGTACCACATTACCTTTCAATATAACTGTGAAATGTTCCTGTACCTGTTCTGTACCAAGTCTCAGGAAAACCCACTGCTCATTTACACAATTTATTTACGTATTAAGTATTTAAGAACAATATTTTCTGCAATTTTACACACACACACACACACACACACACACACACACACACACACACACACACACACACACACACACACACACACACACACACACACACACACACACACACACACACACACACACACACACACACACACACACACACACACACACACACACACACACACACACACACACACACACACACACACACACACACACAAACAAATTAATTATAGTTTGGTGCATAAGAGACAATTTCAAGCCAAGTTCATATGTACAATCCAATCAAGTAATAATTAGTAGTTACCAACTCTTATGTTATTAACTAATCTAAGCTAAGTCACTGCATTATGAATTTAATTAAGATGTGAAGAACCATACCATCATTAAGCAGCCATCAATAACTTAAATTGAGTTCCTCCAGGAACTCAAATTCCCAGAATTCCTCAGCAACATCCATCACCAAATATTCCCCCCACAGTCCTTGCCTGATTGCTAAGTGGTGTTGGTCACCCATGCCATTTTTATGCCTGTATTGGTCGCTCGCTTCCTTTTTCTTTGCTTCATTTGCTGTCTGTCTTCTATTTAATGTTTTGTCTTCTGTTTTTGATTCTTTCTGCTGTTTTTGGATTACTCTTTTGGTTATCATTTTTGTTCGTTTGTTTGTGTTTTAAACATTGATTGTTTGTATTTCCTGTCAAGGCTAGTTTGCAGCAGCCTGACTGTATTTGGACCTTTGGACTGTATCATAAAAAAGTAGAAGTAGAAGTAGATCTGTTTAATGTGATCCTTGTTGATGCAACCCACCACATAATATAAGATTAAATTTTGTACTTTACATTGGTTATGTGTCCCATGCTTTCACTGCCCAGGTTCCATTCCCGTTGCATCAGGAAGGGCATCTGGCATAAAATCTCTGCCAAATCAAAACATGCAGACCAAAGATCTATCGTGGCAACCCTTAATGGGAGCAGCCAAAAGAACAACAACAACAACACTCTACATTGGTTATCATCAATTGGTTATCATCATGTAGATAATAGTACTAGGATAGCCTTCTTTCATCTCAAAATATTGCTAAGATAAGAAATATAATGTCACTACATCATGCAGAAAGATTAGTTCATGCTTTTGTTACCTCTAGGTTGGATTACTGTAATGCGTTACTGTCTGGATGTTCCAGTAGGTGCATAAACAAGCTCCAAAACAGTCTCAGTGTTTAAGTCTAGGCTGAAAACATATTTGTTTAGTCAAGCCTTTTGTGAATAGACCTTTTCTTAGGTAAAGGAGCAGGTCTGGGTGTTCACATGCATAGAGTGTTGTGGTGAACTGGGATGTTTAGATGCTGTCGCCCACCCACTCTCACTTGTTCACTCAGGTTTGTTGATGGTGGAGTGGCTGGCCGTTTTATGTCGCAGGTTGCCCTCATATCTGTGTTTCCTTCTAACTCTCTCTTAGTTCTGCTGTCATAGCTAGTCTTGCTGCAGTCCCTGCTTGCAATCTGCACACAATGTACATTGTCCTTAACCATTACATGACAACTTGCATACCCAATAATATCTCTCTCTCTCTTTCTCTCTCTCTCTCTCTCTCTCTCTCTCTCTCTCTCTCTCTCTCTCTGTCGAGCTACACGTGCTACTCCTGAGATACCAGTGATGATCCTGACCCTTTCTGCTCTCCAGACCTGCCTGTTCCATCCTGATGCCCTACTTCTGGCTGGAGTTCTCATCATTTGGAAATCACTTGCAGCTGGTGAGGATGACCCCACATAGACAGCCTAAAGATCAATGAGATTACTGTGGATGGTACCATGAAGGCTTTGGACTTCAACTGATACGAACAGTTTTGCTACGATGGCTTAGGACTACAATTGCTATGATAACTGCAATTCCCACTAACAGTTTTGCACTCAAGTCTCCATCAGTGAACAATTGATAACTTCAACAACATAGACTTCATGTGAAAACTATAATGAATTTTCCTGTTTACACAGCTGCACCTTTTGACCATGTAGTACACAATTATAGGAGGGAATTATTTATAATCGCACTATCCTCTGGCTTGGTCATTAGGGAAAGTTCATATATTTAAAATTTATCCTGGCATTATATACTGTATATCTGTAAAGCTGCTTTGTGACAATATCCATTGTTAAAAGCACTATACAAATAAAATTGAATTGAATATCATTACTACTGTAATATGTAAATAGCAGTAGTATTAATTATATTCTACCAGCAACCATCAAACTGAAGAGCTGCACTGCTGATAGTTGTAACCATCCATGTGCACAGATTGACCCCAGGCTGGCCTTGAGGCTATACCCTTTTGCCCTCAGTCTGTATAAGTGCTCACTTCTTTAGTATTTCTAGACATTATAATTTATACAGCCTTTGGGTAGGTCATGGAGCAAAGCTGTACCCTGGAGTACCAGAGAAATCAGGGATTTAACCCCAGGAACACGACTGAACAAGACCTGCAGCATAAATAAGTACTAGTGTCTGGCATCACTGAATCAATTCTAGCGACATGTATGGGAGTGTGTAATTTCAGTGTATGTTTTATTGAGGGCTATCCAGCAATCATCATCATAGTCCATGATGTCAAAAAATAGGTAGGCAGCTGGGATAATCCATATTCATAAACCGATGTCCAAGCAAGAGTTGAAACCAGGAAACATGAAACAAAGAAAAAGGCATTTGAAAAACCATGGCTTAACGACATGAATGCACAAGATTTCGCAACCAAAGACAAAAACAGCAGGGTTTCAATAGAGAAACTAATTAAGGGCCTACAGCAAACAGGCGAACACTGTGGGTAACAGACCAGTGACAGGACAGGGGCAGAGACAGGACCAAAACCAAAACAAAAGCACATGGAGAATGAATGATAAGCACAAGCAGCAGTCAGTACCACTGCCCACACTGAGAGGGGGAATTTATGACAGACCTCAAATATAAAATATGTTCATCATAATAAAGTGACTTGTGGGAGCAGTGTCTTGCTCAAGGGTCTCACCTTAGTCATAGTATTGAGGAGGGCAGAGAGCACTGGTCATTCACTCCCCCCACCTACAGTCCCCACAACGCCCCTAAACACAGTTTTTAGAGAACAGGGTTGTTCTCAGTTGCCGAAACCCGGGATTGAACCAGGGACCTTTAGATCTTCAGTCTAACGCTCTCCCAACTGAGCTATTTCGGCCATGGAAAATAGGGGCGGTGGTAGCTTAGTGGTTAAGACATCCGACTACTGATCAGAAGGTGATGAGTTCCATCCCTGGCATTGCCACTGCAGGGCCCTTGAGCTGGGCCCTTGAGCAAGGCCCTTAACCCTCAACTGCTCAGTTGTATAAATGAGATAATTGTAAGTTGCTCTGGATAAGGGTGTCTGCCAAATGCCATAAATGTGATGTAAATAATTCCAGGCAAATCAAATTCAGGAGATTGACATTATATGCCTTTAAGTACATTAGGAGCTTTTCCTCTACCAAGGTGTTTCAGAATCACTTTAGAAGGCCAGTAATAACAAGGTCGTTCAAATGTACACAAACAGCATAGTGTTTCTAATAAAAGCATTTTCACCTTGAGGATAGATAGGTGTGTTATTGTTAATATTTCAGCCCACACAAATTAAGATTCATACTTACCTGAATTACTGTAAAGAAAAAGTCTTAATGGGGAAAGAAAGTACAACTGTAATTATATAACTTTATATAATTAAGGTATTTCAATCAGTATAATTGAGATCTTTGAGGAGCTTCGAAAACTAATTACTACAATTACCAAGACAAAGGGGAACAGAGTGCTTTTGCATTTTATAACCTGTCTTCCACTCAACATCCAGGCACAGTACACAATAGCTATACACAATCAGAGCTCCAGCTCATGACCATGCAGAAATCACAGTCTTTATCAGCCTTTAATCACAGGCATTGTGATGCCACAGTGCACATGTTGTGATTCCAGCATAGCAGCACTCTATTTATGCCAGATTCCTCAGTGCACAAATGGTAAAGTGGATTTTGTATAACAAAATCATTATGAATAACAGAGACAGGATTATTTAGACACTATACAATCTAGAAAACGGTCATAAAGCAGTCCAGGAACTGCATCTCAATAGCATGTCAAATAATTTCCACCTATCTTTTCAACATATCAAAGTATGACAATAGAGTTCACATGATCTGAGTTTGAAATTGGGATAGGACTAGGAATGATTAACAATCATGAAAGTAAACTTTGAAATGAACCTTAAGAAACCTTGAAAGGTCCTATAAGGATGTTCAGTAGGATCAGACTGTGAACAAAAATACTGGGATGAGCACAGAGCAGTCTTTATGTTCAATAATTGTTGACTGTCTATAGTGGACTATTCAAATACAAGTTACAGAAAAAAAAAGATGTGGACCAGCAGCATCCAACCAATCAGGACAAGTCATGTCAGTCATGTTCACTGTCATTTCAGAAAGCTCCACCACTTTAACTAGCATTCAGATGTTCTAGCATAGGCTTATTTTTTATGGTATGGCTTTTATTTGTTTACTTTGGCTAGATTCTGTTAACTTAAACCAAGAACCTGCTTTACTATTCTGATATTTTGCAGTAACTGTGTTTTTACTCTATCTATATGAAAAAGTGGGCCTCAGTATTCTGTGCTTTGCATGACTGATGCATGAATAATACATCCTGTTAAATTAAATGATGCTTCTACTGAGACTCACTAATTGCATTGTTAAAACTTTAATCTGAACAATTTTAGCTATAATTTTCTTGTAAAAATAAACAAATACTTAAACACATATTGTGCATACAGAAACATTTCTTACCTCCATATTGCACAAACCATTCAGCAGTTAGGTAAATGACCCAAGTCTCTCTGAAGAAACCTCACAGAAATGGCACATGGAGTCTTGGCTACTGCATAATTGCTGTCAAGTACAATTAAAGGTCCTTGTTTATAGGAAATTAGGCATCACATAGAGAATTATGCAATTATTTCAAGACTCACATGCCCGAGTGTGTTAGCTTGTTATTCCTTGAACCTACAAGTCTCTGTAAAGGAAAACGTTTGACCTAATCTAATTCCCATAATTGACGTCAGAGGAAATTTGTAGCTTTCTGTCATTACATTCAATTCATTATCTTGTCAGACTGAAACAGACTTAGAGGAGACGTGCAGTTTAAAATCTGAAAAAGGTAGTGCTATTAATACACAGACTAACAGGTTACTATAGGACAGACATAGGGAAGTTCTAATGTGTCCTTAACAAGGAACAGGTGAAAACCATGACGCCTAGTTTTTCA